GAGAGCGGGAGTCGTTGGTGTAAATTGGGATTGTAAGCTTTTCTACTGCTTTACCCTTTTTCCATGCTCTAGAGGACCTGAATTGCAACTATTGAAATCTAACTTTCGGGGGACATAGTCTGATTTGTATAATGGTGTTGTCAGCTAGTTGAGTAAATCCTTTTTGTTATCAACATTCGAGGTTCTTAAGTCTGATAGGGAGCATACAGCAACTTGGGGAAACACGCGCTCAACAGGTAATTGATACAGCAGAATATCGGACATGACTTAATAAAAAGTTTGAGCTAAATTAAAAAATATAAACTTTTGAAAAATTCATCTCAGGTGTTTCAGAGCATCAGTTGATCTCAGCGGAAACAATATCTGCTCTGCTATACCAGCTTAGCTTTGAGTAGAATATTGGCAGCAATGATTGGCAATGATTTTTATATAAACTTAACTAAATGCTTCGAGGCGGAAATACTTTACGACATAGGTCGCTATCATTACACCAAAAGCAGTAGTTGCCTTTTCCAGGACATCTCAACAGCAATTTCGAAGTAGCTTACAGTCATTTTGTATGAGGTAAAGAGTTGTTATGAGTTTGCTTAGGACCATATGAAGACTAATTCGATTGACACTTCCGTAAAGCTCTTTAAGGAACTGCAACTACGCCGTTTGTAACTAGTTTGAGACTAGTTGAATTTAATTTTTTTACAAGTTCGTCTTCATTTCGAACTTAATTTAGCGGATTTTTTTTTTTTAATTCTCTAATTTAAATACTTTTTTCTATTTCAAAGCTGCGCGTTTGTTGCTTATGAGGAGAGAGCTGCTCTCTTTATTATTAGATGCGGTGCTTGGTAGAATCTACCTTTATTTAACTCATATATATTTCTATTCAAATGTTATAGTCAAATATTATAATCAAAAAATTTTAAACTTTTCCATACCGTTAAATTTTAACTGAAATTTTTTAATATTTAAAATTCTGCTCATTATCAGTCACAAGTCTCTCTTTCATCTTAAGTGACTTTGTCACACATTTCTTGAATATTTAAACAACACAATACCATTATGACTTTATGACTGACAATTAAATAAATAACTGTCAGATAAGCGACAAACTAACGATGGATGTAATGAATGCTCGAACTGAGACGAGCTCAAAAGTGAATGTGTGAGGGTGAGTGTGAGTATGAGTGTGAGTGTTAGTGGAAATGGCATGCCATAAAACAAATGAATTGACGAAAGGCAACAAAATGCATGGGAATATGCATACATATGCAGTTGCATATACATACATACACACGTAGTAGGAGAACCATATAACGGTGCAGAGGCTATGCAAAACGAATGAAATGCATGTTGCATGCAACACATGTGCCATTTATGTAAATGACGTGTTGATTGCAGTTGCAAGCGAGTAAGAAAAAACAAAAAACTAAAAAAAAGACAAAAAAAAGAAATAATTTTATTTCAAGGAAGAATTAATAGGAAGCACGTAAATGAAGTAAATTAATAAAAAAATAATAATATTTTTTTTTGTTTATTTTGTAAGGCTTATTTGTATGTTGCTTTTATTTGCGCGCTGTTTCGGAAATGAAAAATATTTATGACAATAAACTCGCCTGAATAAGCAGACAAAAGCGGCAAGCATAAATGAGTGAATGAATGAATGAATGAATGAGTGAAAGGCGTGTAAAGCATAAATGAATGAACGACTGAGTGACTGACTCAATGCCTTAATGATTATGCTTCATAAACACACTATATTAAATATATATGTTTATATATGTATGTATGTATGACACCACTGACTGTCGTCTGCCTGACTTCAAAAAACTTTCTGCAAAAAAATGTCTCCTATTCTATTTCAATAGCTACTCCTCAACGCCGTTGCTATGCCTCAATAGCCAGCCGTATATTTGTTTATTACTGTGTTTGTATGTACTCGTATGCGCTGGCGTTTGCATGCTGGTTGCATGCTTCACTGAGTGACAGTGAGTTGTTTGTTCCATTGTCCTTGTAATGAATGCTTTGTTGTGTTTTTGGTGTTTGCTTTATTTAGATTTCATCCATTTTCATTACATAAATAACTCCCTCTCTCTTACTCTCTCTCTCTCTCTCTCTCTCTCTCTCTCTCCCTCCCTCCGCTACTCTCCACGCCGCTCTACACACCAGTGCAGGCCTGTGCAGGCGACAGCAAGGGTTCGGAAATAATGCTTTCAATAGCTTTGCTGGGAAAGTACTCGTTCGGTTTAAGATAAGAGTTGCCTGAGTTGATTGAGATGACTGCCTAACAATGAGTGATGCTATTGAAACAAAATAATATTCTATATAATGGGCTTTATTGTGTGCATGGACGAGTGCGGTGCGGTGCTAATTAAAAGCGTTGGACTTAAGGGTTACTGCAAAATTTAAGGTATTTCCTTAAAGGTTTAGTAAATCTTGGGTCACTTTAATGGGCAATTATTAGTTTTATTAAAAAAGTTTTTCATGAAGTAACTAGCTGCACCCTGGAACGCTTCGCTGTCGCACATACTCATTGAATGCACGAGAAATTAAATATTTATCATAACTTTGTTTACTCAATACTTAAGCTAATACAATATTTTTGGTTTTACCATTGACATTGGCCCACTTTCTAGAGAGAAGACTTTCCGGCTTTTTGAATAGGTCAGTCTCTGGTATACTTCACGGAGAGCGAAGAAGAGTCTTCCTGTTAATCTGAGCAATAGGCCAATAGTTCTCGCGACAGTCGGGTCTTTATACCGAAACGACTCGGATTTTTAACCGGCCAAGGACTGTCACTCCCGCAATATCCCGCAAAAACTGTTTTGGGAATATTTTTGGGGTTACAACAAGAACAACAACAACCGAATCAATAGGTTGGAAATAACTTTGCGGGACTCGCATTTTCGGATGGGATTTTAGAAATGAGTAGCAACTACCCGTCTGAAAAGAACACCCTTTATTAAGAGAAGGCGATTGTAAATTCTGATTTCTTGCGGAAATAGGGTTTTGACATAAACCAATAAAGCCTACGAATAGCGCTCAATTTTGTTGAATTTTGTTGTTGTAACATTTTCTAGTCTTAGCCTAATGGCCTCTTCGAAGCACAACTCTCAGTCTTAGATCAAGTATCCGATGGGTGGTCAACAAAAATCCACTTGGAAGCGAGCTTAAATGAAAAGGCAAATACCAAAAAAATCTCGGATGAGAGACTCCAATTTCTGTAGTGACCGCAGCAAATGTTTAAGGAATACCATTTGAAGGCTGGCATCTGCAATTTCTTGTCCCTTAATTGAGCTCATATCGTTGGTCAACTGGCTTGTGCTCTTGCGAAAGGTAGGGCTTACAGCAATGCCGTCCCGAAATGCGGTGGCCAGAATGATATGGAAGTAGGTGGGTCCCTGTGACCATGATATTTTGTGGTAGATTTGTATTAAGAAAGAGAGAGGCCTCATCGTAGAGTACTAAATCTATAGTTTAAATGTCTCGGTGATTTTCGCCGACTCCATTACAGAAGATAAGGACGTTAGTCGTCCGTTGAGCGTTTGCTACCACAATGATATTGAAGTCGTGCTTGGCGATTTTTAAATCAGGCTGGGCAAAGAAGGTATCTTTGGCATGAAATTTCTCAAATTCAGCCTCCACAAAACCAACCGGGTGAAGTTGAGCAATAACAGAAGCTGTGACGTAACAGTAGAGGATCCCTGAATGCTGTACAAAACCTCAACTTCTGAGTTGTTTCCGATCTTTGCTTTGAATAAAGAGAACATAATGTCTACCATTTCAGATGAGATTTAACATATGAATTGGAGTATGTGAAGAAAACTGATTATATCGATATGCCGCCTTGGCAAAGTAAGTTCTAAGTAATTGTGTAATTTTTTGAAAAATTCGTTTTCAAGTTATCCTAGAACGCTGCTACAGCGATTAGTGATATTCATTGTAAATCTCAGCAGATTAATTCCTGCGATAATTCCTTCCCCTAAGATCCATTTTTTCTTGTTAAAGCTTTCGCACGACTTAGAAATTTAGAGCGTAAGCTTTTCAATGCGGAAGGTCTATGTAAAGAGTACAGGAGTTCGTTATTAGACAAACACTGGAGTATGCTACAGTTATATCAAGAAGAATGAAGAGCGTACGATCTTTCATTCTTTTAGATGACAAAAGGGCTTACTAAACTCCCAAAAAATGCAGAAGAAGTCGTGGCGCCTTAACAGTAGTAGTCAGAGAACTCCTCCTAAACGTTCTTGTCAACTGTTTTTTTTATTTTTGAAATATTTACGTGAAACGTGCAAATCTTAAAGTTTATTAAAGTTTTTCAAAATTCTTTTTAGCCGTGAGATTTTTTTTTTTAATTTTCAGTTCCTTTCGTTCAACCCACAAAATCCCCTTATAAAACAAAATTGAAATCAATCAAAATTTAAGCTACTTAAATTAATTGAATTTCCATGCATTTTATGCTGCATATACGTACATACATACGAACGTATGTAGATTATTTTTAATACTGAAAATCGCCTTTTAATACGAAAAATCAATTATAACAAACAACGCTTGTGGGATCCGTAAAAATCTACGCGCTTTTATATGCTCTAAGTGCTGCTAGCGCGACGAAGCAAGGATGAGCGTTGGGCATTTGTGTGCAGCTTTTAGGCGCAAAAAATATGGAAATGGGCAGTGTACATATACATACATATATATATGTATATATGTATGTATTAATACATAGGCAAAGTACAATGCCTACGTTAATCCGCAACAACAACACATACACACAGCGCCAACTTAATCGCCAAAGCAAAAAACAAAAATTCAAAAAGAAAACAACAAAATAATTATTACACAATCCAACTTGTTGTTATATGATGGACTTATTTACATCTTCTTGTCAGTTCATTTTTATCCATATTCTCAATTTAACTGATTTTTTCTGCATTTATAAATCTCTCTTTTACGGCTAGCGCTCCCTCTCACACTTTTGCCTTTCTCTTTTTTTTCGTTTTTTCCAGATTTTTTAATCCATTGTGTTCGGTGCGGTTTGTGCGCCGATTGTTATCAATAACTGCGGTTACGCCATCCAACAGCAACAAAAAACAGCAACAAAAATACCGTTAAGTCATTGTCGTAACCACAAACAACAACAACAACAGCAAAACAATTGTGTGACTTCACTACTGGACAATGCAAACGAGCAAGCGATGAGGTAACCCACCCCCTGCCCCAACCAGCTCACGGCACTTTCCAATCAGCTGCAATCGAAAATATCCTGCGAAGAAGCAAGAAGGAAGGTTGAAACGCGCAGGCAGCAAAGCATTTACGCAAACAAATAAGTACACAAGCACGTACTCAAGCCTAATCCTAGGCGTTTGAGCAGAAAGCCGCCCGAGAATAAACAACTAGAACCCAAAGAATAAAATAAAAATTGAATAAAAACATTCAACATACAAATACATGCATATATCTGTAGAAAGGGGAAATTTATATAACGCTAGTCAGCTGCAGCTTTATTGTAATAATCCTGTGGTTCATGGCCCATCTCTGCCCCTAAGGAAGAAGTAGACCAAAAAATATTTAAGTCGAAATACCAGAAATAAATCCATCAGCGCATTGGAATTTCGTAAGAGCGACAGCACCACCACTTCACATTCTCCATCTGCCGTGGCGCATACTTGAAATTTCCGAATTCCGAAATTCCGTTTTCTTGCTCGCCTGGTTTACGATTAAATTTCCATCATTGCGTTTTTATATTTTACGCCAACGTGCCCCGAGCACAACCACCACCATCATCCGCACCAGTTTCAGCACGACCATCAGGAGCAACAACAACAGCAGCACCAACAACAGTTTAGCCATCATCAACAGTTGTCAGAGCAGCTGCACGCCACCCACACGCTGTTCAAGCAAACACCAGCACCGAAGGTCGTGCTCTTGCCCTCACCAGCAACACATCTCTACTCACCGCACGCTGAGTCACCAGTGTATGCCAACAGTAAAATAGCCGCCCTAACGGCTCAACACAGCATAGGTAGCGGTAATATAAGTTGTAGCAACAACAACAGTGCCACCACCGTCAGCAGTAGTAGTCCCATCAGCAAATTTTACAAACATCGTTCCACAACGGCGTCGTCACATTTTCTTAACATCGCCGACACAATGAAACTGTCAAAGTTGTCCAATCAGACGAACTCGCAGGATCCGCAGGCGGTGAATTCGCGCATCTTTGTGGGCAATTTGAATACGTTCCAGTGTTCGAAGACAGATGTGGAGCGTATGTTTCAGATTTATGGTCGGTTGGCGGGTAAGTGAGGCACGGGACACTCCCAAGCTTTGGTTACAAATAAGAATAACGGTTAAATTAATATGCTCTTCTTTATTCGTTGCATACTTTCAGGCATATCAATGCATAAGGGTTATGCCTTCGTGCAATTCACAAATCCTTTTGATGCTCGAAACGCCTGCCATGGCGAGGATGGTCGCACAGTGCTGAGCCAGACATTGGGTGAGTAGAATTTTTTTTTTTGTTTAAAGAATTTCCATACGCTGACAAGACTCGGAAGGTAAAATTTTGCGCCAAATTCAAAGCGAACCCATGCTGCTTGACCGAGTTATTACAGGCGCTGAGTGCTGGTTTTTTCAATACGACCAAGAAACCAACTCCAAAGCTCACAATGGCTGTCTCCGCACGTCTCGCCGTCAAAAACAAGCTCGCATGAACAGGTTGAAGGTGAAAACGATGATTATTGCCTTTTTTGATAAGCCATAAAATCCTTCTCAAAGAATTTCCTCCCCCGGGGCAAACCGTAAATCAAGTCTATTATCGGCAAGTACTCGAAAGATTGCGAAAGCGAGTCAACAGAGTGTGGCGGGACAACGCTCGGAACTGGTACAACGCGCCGGGCCACACCGACCTCAGCGTGTCCCAGTATTTGGCCTCCAAAGAGATCAATTTGTTGCAACAAGCGCCTTATTCACCCGATATGTCACCCTGTGACTTTTTTCGTTCCCTAGAATAAAATCGGAAATCAAAGGAACCCATTTTCAGTCGGTTGAGGACATCCAGGCAGCCGTGACGAAGATACTCGCGTATATCCCATTCGAAGCGTTCCAGAAATGTTAAACGGAAAAGAAATGGAAAACGCGCTGGAGCCGTTGTATAGCTGCCCAAGGCGATCGTTTTGAAGGGGATGGCAGAGTTGTAGAATATTTTTGAAATATACGGTGTTTAAGGAATCAGTCTCATTACTTAATTGTCACACCTCGAGCCGAACTCCGGAACAATGGACAAATTTATTACCGAAATAATGGTCCGGTTCGCGTGACGTATCTCCCACTGGGTTCAATATTCAGTCGACATAATAATAGCCCAGCAATGTAGACAATCCGGGATCGGTTTCTCAACACTCTTACTCTAGTGGATAATAATTATCCTCAGAGACGCTGTACAGTACACCTCTAAGAAGCCGAATAGTAATGAAGGAGAGCCGAGTGAGTCCACTCGTCATAGCGCACATACACGTTATGGAAGAATCTTGATTTTGGAGCTTAAAAAATGCAACAGTGCAAGAATAGAAGCCGAAAAACATGCATATAGATTGGTGGATGGGCCCAAAACACAATGGGCATTGGTCCCGATTTTTACCAGAAAATTCGGTTCAACGATGAAGCTCACTTCAATTAGGCTTCTCGGCTGCGATTTATTCGAGCCGCCAAAGGCGGTCGCTTGACTGCTTCTACTTTTAGAATATTATGGCAAGATCTCGTGTTTTTGATAAGCGAAATTATTCGCAATAACATTAAATTGTATGCCTTTAGTTACTTCTAGAAAACCACTTGTCTAAAAAAATACCCTCTACATACTGTGGTGGACCTTAGTAGGTCTACATTAAATATTCTTCCGAATTGGATTGGATCGTCTGCTACCTTAGGCTTCTCTTTGAGTTAGTTATCATGTTAAACTCTTCACCTACATTTTCAACTGATCTCAAAGCTCTTAACCAACAAAGCGCCTGATGCGCTCTCCTTGGAGTTGAAGTTTTTTGAGTACCTACCTGCCGAGCTGTCTGCCATGCTGTCGTTCACTCTGTAACTTAGTTGACAACCGCCAGTGCCGAGTGGTTCTCTCTGCGTGTTAGCCTGTCGAAAGCCCTTTGTTTGGATTCTGGTTAGACCAACAAAAGATATTGTAGCCTTTTTTCTCCTCTGTTCTCTCTAGGGGTTTCAGCTCTTTTAATTGTATTTCTGCCATGAAAGAGTATCTGAGAAAATTCATCAGCCAATCAGATCAGCTTAGAAATATGTAACTGACGGTCCCTTACTTTTCTAAAAATATCAAGACCCGAAAAGTAAAAACTTATGATCGCATCACTCTCTTTCCGCATAAAAATATTGGATTTTTTTCTCCAGGAACGTCTGGAATTATTTCGTTTCACTATTGCCTCTCAAACCAAACCTTGCAACATAATAATTTTGCTCTCGGTTTAAGTTAAATTAAATTTACGACTCGCCTAAAAACAGTTAGTTTTGCGTATTATGCGAGTTTCGCGAATTTAACCTACTTAGAGGTTGAAAACAGACGGCCAATTGGCCGTCTAAAACTTTTACTGCTTAATCTGTTTCTTGTAACTGCCACTTTTAATGGCTTCACTGACTGCGCGGCGACGTATGCTACTTCGCTACTTTCCTGCAAGCTTTCTCCACTACCAACACCGCGCACTTGGTCTGCCCGCCTTCCCCAGCCACCCACATTCGCAGGCATGTTTCGTAACCTTCGATTTGTTGGCGGCGTGCGCGTCTGCGGTCTTTTACATTCATTTGCCGCTCAAAATTCCTTTCAACACTTCAACATACCTACGCCGAGGTTACCCTGCACCGCGTGGCGTTTCGCGTTCTTTGACTTCTTGACAATCCTTTAGCTTGCATTCTAGGTTTATTTTATTTTAGTTTTAGGTTTTTACTTCTACTCAATGCACTTCTTACGGCTGCTTCTTATGCTCGCACTTGCCCTTATTCAATCCTTTCAAGTTGCTGCTAAAACAGCGATAATTTTCTCTTTCATTTCCGGGGTATTGGCCGCAGAGCGGATGCATAAAAATTTTCTTACAACAACGCGAAATTTTCTTTTCCGACTCATTCAAGCACGACGTCGGCGGTGGGCCAAAGAAGCAAGCGTGCGGGTTGGGGTGGTGGAAATTGTCTGCTCTTTTAAATTTGCAAAAAAAAAAAGAAAAAAAGTGTTTAAATATGTATGTGGTGTTGTTATAGGTATTTAATATTTAAAGGCACATTTATACTAAGCAAATGCCTGTTCTTAACCCCTTTGAAGGGCTTGATTCCTTTACGCTCCTTACACTACTTCGTGCTGTTAGTGACTCGTTTGTGATCGCGTTGAAAGCGAAAAATGTTTTAGTTTGCTGCTTTTGGCGTTTCTTTCATTTCAATTTTGTTGACAAGCGGAAGTTAATGTTTTTATAACTTTGTTCGTGGAAGGAAGAAAGGTTAATGCTAATTTCGAGAGAAACGTTTTGGACAGCAACTGAAATGAGTATATTTTTATCAATAGAATTGGTAGTAAAGAAAATACAATACAAAGTTAATATATACTATATAAATTGGTGGATGCTTCAAAAGTTCCTCTTCCAACCTGTGGTTCGTCTTGAGATAGAGGGTTTTGCTCATTGTCAGCTACCATAGCCATAATCTTCGAGGAAGAATTTTCCTAATTCAATTTTTTCGGTGGTTTTACCCCTTTTTTTACCCACTGTATCGACTCGTGTTTGAATTCGGAATCATACTGACGAATCCAAGTTCCATCAGCTATTATAATTCGGTTGCAATTTTTATCCAAATCAACTTGGCAAAACTCCAAAAAATCTGTAACTCATCAATCGTCGTTGCTGGTCGAGCGGCTTGAGCAGTCGTGGTACTCAAAGCGCACTAATTTTGTTCATTTTTAAATGTTCAAGCAAAATCTCGCCAGCTCGTATTTTGCCATCTATCTAATCTAATCCCTCTGCTATCTACCACAATTTAATTCTTCGATCTGCCGGTAATAATTTTTCGACTTTCTGAACATTTTCTTCCTTCACCACCGTCACTGCGCACCGCAGGCAGCGGTCATCTTCAAAGGTCACTCTTTATTGTTGAAACAGCTGAGCCAGGTTTTTCCCATCCTAAATCAGGGGACAGAATACTGAAGAACCGATAGCATTTTTGTAAAATTTTATTTTATCTGCGGTGTTCACCGACCAAAACCCTTCTCCCGAACGCTCCTAGTGTCAGCTCATCGTATATCCAAGCGCCTGAATCTTACTACAAGGGAAATCATTAGCAATTTGTAGAATCTACTTTTTGCCCGTCGAGAGCTCACTTTACTTTTGACGAGTGATTCTGCGTTGGATGTCAAGGGTGACATTGTTGTTGGTATTAATGCTGGTTCGAAATCAGAAGAAATCGTCGCATACGGCTTAAAAATTCATCTGCTTATCTTTCTACTGTTCTTGTGCTCGAAGCTCAGCACACCTTATGAATGCTTTCATCTGAACTTCATCAGAACTCCAATTTGTAAACGTTATTGCATAAGGAATATATTTTTTTTTTGTTTTCAAAATTAAGTCCGCTTTTAAATGTCCAGCTTTTCTTCAGACACAATCGATTGTGTCAATTCACAAGTTTGAGAGAAATGAACTGGAAGGAAATAAAAATAAATATAAGTACCAACTGAATTATAACCTTTTCGCAACTTGCCTTGTTGTTGTGGTAGAAGTTCTGCAACACTTTGTGGCATGCAGCGCTAGAGCGTTGCGAAAATGAACACTTAATGAAATTTCAATACAACGAAATCGTTGTTGTTATAACGTAATGGTGGAAGGTAAGCAAGTCACATGCACTTCAACCGATATCCCTATGTATGTTTGTATATATTTATGTATATATACATGTAAGTATGTATAAAATATGCAACAGAGCATACGTCGATTTCATTAACGTTTAAAAAGCCTTCATTGTACACATTCATATGCACATTCATGTATGTAGTATATATGTATGTATGTGTGTATTCATTTTTCTGCCATATGAATTTGCCACGGTCGGCAAGGATGTGTGTAAATATCATAGAGTTGTTTTTTAAATACTTTTTACCTTTACTCGGTGTTACTTTGAAACATACATAATTTCATATATATATATATATATATATATATATTTATAATACATATTAACATTAATATGTACATGGAGTTGCTCTGCAAGCAAAGTGTTAAAATGAATGGGCCTGCAGACAGACGCCTGGTTGCCTGGTAGCCTGGCTTGGTTTGTTAAGTGCGTTACTTTACGCCGAAAGAGTATTGCTCAGAAGGCGGTATGTAACAGGCACCTTTGCATATGTATGCACATATATGCACATATGTGTGTAGGTATACGAGTGCATTAAGTGCCATAAGCTATGCTGAGTGTGCTGAGGTGCAAATTTATTTTCAACAATGCAGAAAATATGCGATT